TGCAGTAGTGCGAAAGATATGTACTTGTATATATGTTATTTCAACATTTTATATGATTTGACCGAAAAAAGTTATGATATTTATTATTCATGTAGTGATAGTTGAGGGAAAAAAAAAACCAAAATATGGTTGAAAGTTAGTTTGATAGAGAAAATATCAAATTAAAATTTAGAATTTGATTGGTTTAATAAATTTGAGTTTTTGAAAATTGTACAAGTTTTATTGAAATAGAAGGATGCCAAGTAAGTTTAAAGATATATCAATATGAAAATAATGTCATATAATTTCAAAAAGGAGAATATACTACCATTTGCGAACAAACTTATATTTAACTGGTGGTTGATTAAAGTAGGGCAAAATACAAAACTGGGCCGGTCGGTTAAATCTAATTGGGGGATTTGCATTTATACTCAGTTTTTGAGTCACAATTTAACTTATATCCGCTTTGCAAAAAAATTGTAAGCGTACCCACTTTTCGGGTAACTTCAGACATACGGAGCCTGAAGTAGCAAGAATTTATGTCTAAAGTTTGAACTTCACAATTTTTTGCCTGAAGTGTGACCTTATCAAAGTAAAACTTCAGATACTTTCGTCTGAAGTTTGGCCTAACTTGCAAAAGCAATCAATTTTTTTTAGTTCATACAGCAAACTTCAGACAAATTAGTCTAAAGTTCTTCAGTTTGTTGTGCAAACTTCAGACAAATTAGTCTGAAGTTCTTCCGTTTGTAGTGCAAACTTCAGACTAATTTGTAGTGCAAACTTCAGACAAAATCAGCTTGTTATATTTGAACTTCATATAATTTTTCCTGGCATGATAGTTGCAAACTTCAGACAAAATTTAACCTGGTAATGTCTGAAGTTTGGCCATGCAGTCCCAAACTTCAGTTGATGCTTCTTCGAGTTTTGACAATAAACTCTTGTTTTATTATTTACGTACTTTGTGTTGTTGTATTAATGTTTGAGAGGCAGTGGCAAGTCTTTCTTTCTTCTTGATTTGTCGCTTTGGCCAATTTCCAGAAATGATAACATGTGTAACTTACAGGATACCATGTTTGAAAGAGAAAAGAAGAAGAAGAGGAGGAAGAAAGGACCGCATAGGTCGCAGGATCTGAAGTTGTCAAAATTAGGGTATAAGTTAAATGGGGGTGACCAAATAGGACGCCCCATGTAATTTTTACAATCTAATTGGTAGCAATATAACTTTTTTATGGCCTAATCTTGTATCATTAGTTCATTACACTGTTGTGAAGAATGAAAAGTGTAAATTTTATCAACAATAATTAGTCATTAAGAGGCAATACTGTGGTTTAACTAATTGATAGGGAAATGAAGTATAAAATAGAACTAAGACGTAGTACATTTTTGTCTATTCAATTAATTAATTGATCAATCAACTAAATTTTTATCTCGAACAAATTTTCTCCTGTTCACTTCAACTTTTTTTATTATAAAAATGCATTTTTTTAACATAAATAATTCTTCGGAAAATTTAACAAAACTCATAACCTCATTGGATTTGTGAGGTTTAATCCTAGAAACAAAAGTAGAAATTAGATGCATTTTTTTGGGTGAACTTTATCAAGTTTTAATCCATCGGGCTAATTAAATAATAATAGCATATTGATTTATTCTCAACCTAAAATAACCATATAAGCCCTAAAACTAAGAAGTAACTTCACTTTTTTTTTCAGAAATAAGAAAGACTTGGTCTTAACCAACCAGACAAGAAATGATTAGGTGGGTAAATCATTAAGCATTTGCCTATGACTCTATCCTTATCATAAACTAATAAAACTTTCATTAATTTATCCGTAAAAAAATATTCTTCGATGTAACCAATTAAACCTTAATAACATTAAGCAAAACAAAAATTAACATAAATTTCCAACAAAGAATAGTTCAAAAACAAAAGCATTGACCAGAAAGTCTTAAACCGAAAAACTTTCGGCCTCTAGCATCTTAACGTGTGTAGTTGTCATATTTAATAACGCGGTTGTCTTTTTCCCTACGCATTTTTTTCCTTAACCCTACCAACTTGCTCCCTACCACCCCATGCATTTCATATTTGCATATACCTAACTAGAGGCACCCATGATTTGAGCACAACTGGGCATCACTGTCTTTTTAACATAGATATATAAGCTAGTAGCGATAAGATTTAGCGTGCTAAAGCGTGCTAACTCCTTAAAAATTTAATGATTATGAGTCAGTGATCAAAAAATATCTTTTAAAATATCAAAAACTTACTCAAATATCTTTTAAATGTAGTTAGATGATTTTTTTTTCTTGGGGAGAAATTTAGCTCACTAGATTATTGATGACATAATTTAAATAGTGGCATAAAAAATGGTCATTTTTGCAAATGCCACATAATATGACTGAGTCAGTGTCTACCTCTGCCAAACTACATATATATACACCCCCCTGTACTCCTACCAACCCCAACAATATAAACCCCACAAACAATCAAAAGAATATCAAAAAACAACTACCCTTTATCCATTTCTCTACATTCTTCTCCAACAAGTACAAAAACACACAAACAAACAGGAAACAAAAGGCAATTGCAACAACAGGAAGAAGAAAAACAGAATAATTGTTTTTGTTTGATTCAGAAAATGGGGACAGAGAGCTGGTCTTTAATAGGAAGGCTAAAGAGGGCAGTAAAAAAGATAACTTTTTTGCTGAATCTTGATATGAATAAATGGAAGTTAATATCATCTTTGATTGGATCATCTTCAAGAAGACATCAATTGAATTTCAAAGAGAAGAAGTTGCAAAAACAACCAACTGGATTGAATGTAATATGTTTTGAGAATGATGATTTGAGTCCAAATAATTCAGGTACAGGTTCTAATTCATTTAAAGGACTTCAANTTGCAAAAACAACCAACAGGATTGAATGTAATATGTTTTGAGAATGATGATTTGAGTCCAAATAATTCAGGTACAGGTTCTAATTCATTTAAAGGACTTCAAAGAACTATGAGTTATCCATCATCAGAAGATGATATTGATAAAAGAGCTGAAATGTTTATAGCTAATTTCTATAAGCAACTTAAACTTGAAAGGCAAATTTCTTTGGAGTTACGTTATTGTAGAGGGCATAGTTTTGGATCTTCGCCATCTCCATGAGAAGCGAGCAGAGGCGGATTCAAGATTTTAATTTGATGGATTCAAACTTCTGCGTTCTTTGAATATATGAGTTCAAAACTCAAATATTATATTCAATATTTTTCATATATATATGGATATTGTGAAGAAAGGATGGAGAAGGCAGGGAAGAGTCTTGTTAAGATGATCTCCATTGCAAAAACTTGTAAGACAAAGCATACAGTTTTTTCATTTGTATGCTTTCTTT